GGAGGCAGGTGGGGACGAGATTCAGGTGGAGGAGGCAGGTGGGGACGAGATTCAGGTGGAGGAGGCAGGTGGGGAGGAGATTCAGGTGGAGGAGGCAGGTGGGGACGAGATTCAGGAGCCTTTTGCCAGCTCCAGCACTCCCCAGCTCTCTACACAACTGTTCTGTCCCCAGCCCGAGTCTGGGCTACTTCAGAAGGGCAGAGACCACAGGTCAGCCTCAAGGAAGAAAGGGTGCCTGAGCTGGTGCCTGCCATAGGACCTAGGAGAGAGAGAGGAAATAGGGTGGGGTGGGATAGAGAGAGAGAGAGAGAGAGAGAGAGAGAGAGAGAGAGAGAGAAGGAAAGAATAAGGTGATTTCGGAGAGAGAAGAGAGTTTTGAGGATGATTAATCTGACGATCATGTGCCACTTTTCTGAGGAGCCTATTCGTTTACAGGGCAGGAACTCACTTTCCATAACATCCACTTGTCAGTTTACTTAGACATCCACGACCTTCCCTTTACTGGCAGGATGTGCTCACTTCAACTAAGAGTCTAAGGATAAAGCCTTAGGGTTCATCAACTCATGGGGCTGCTAGGAGCAAGGGTTCCCTCAAGGCCACCTCTGGGGTCCTCAGCTTTAACAGACCCCCAGCTCTTACAGAGTAAGGCTGCGGGAGCTTTGTGCCCTTTGCAGAGTAAGACTGGGTGAGGCTATGCGCCCTGCAGGAGGTGAGGTAGTAACAACACACTCCATTCTGGAAAGGGGTGGGAATTATTTTTAGAAACACTGTTGCAACTTAACTTACATTATTAACAATGGTCCCATCTGCTCCAGCTTCCAGTAAGATTTTAACCACCTTCTTGTGATTTAGGGCCGCAGCAACATGAAGCGCTGTGTCTCCAGCCTGAAATTAATCAGAAGAGAGTCTGCTAAACTCCATCTGATTATGGCATACAGCCCTCCGGATTTTCATCCCATGGCCTGGTGGTAGCTTTTCAAATTAGGATTTGCCTTAGACTGATAGGGGGTCCTTTGCTCAAGTGTTACATGGTTCTCTTTAAAATGACCTAGGTACAAAGATCACACTCCTTTCTGACTGAGGATACTAGAAATCACAGGATTAAGTTACAGGAGGCAAAGTAAGGTTGGGCTGGGGTTGTTGAGAATGGGGAGACCTGAAGCCTTACACCGAGCTGGATAATGGGCTGTGTGCAGGCTAGCCATCACAGAGCTCTGTACCACGTCCCTCTGCCCAGGCAGAGGACCCCTTGGTTTTTGAGTATTAGAACGAGCAGAAGCTGCAAGAAAATGGCTACTTCTGCAAGCACGGAGGGGGGGGGGGGGATCCTAGCCCTGCAGCACCCGTGGGAATGTAAGGGGCCCACTGGGAATCACTTTACAGGCTCAGGGTGTTCTTCATTTGGGTGGAATCACTGAAAAAAAAAAATCAGTGTTACTTAAGACCAGCTGTTTTCAACTTCTTACCGAATAGCCTTTAATAAAGCTATTTTCTTTCTACAAAAAATGTTCAGACAATCAACTATGAAAGGAGGCTATGGACAACTGCAGCTTGGTGGGCCAATTCCCAATGTGAACATTTGTATTTCCCCAAGCAGAAGGATATAAATAAATAAGGCAAATACAGATGTGAAATAATCCATTCTCTCCCATTGGGTGATCAGGTAAAGCTCCGGATGACGTGTTTTCCTGGGTAGCATGAAAATCCCAGCTGTCCCATGGCCCTCCTCCCCCAAGGGTAGCCAGGGAAGTTTTAGTTCACTGCTGAGTCACTTAGCTGTGTGTGTTGGGGATGTTCTGCAGCAAGTTTCCAACCTTGGCTGCAAATTGGGATCAGCTGGGGAGCTTTAAGAACTATTAACACCCAGTCCCGCCCCCAGGCACTGATTTAATTGTTCTGAAGTGTAGGTTGGGCATGGGGATTTCTCAAAGCTCTCAGGTAACTGAAAAACATCCTGCCAAGGTTGATAAACATAGGTTCGTGGGGGCTGGGTAAAGGTAATCTGATGAGCGAGAATCCGCTGGAAGCCTGGAGGACAGGATCAGGTATTCAGCTAGGCCAGTGGTTCTCAATCCTGTCTGCACACTTAGGTCAAGAGCTTTCTAAAAATCCCATTACCTGGATTCTGGTCATTTAAACTGGGGTAGGATTCAGCAATGGTATTTATAATTTCCCTGCTGATTCTTAATATGCAGCAGGAGTCAAAAACCACTGTTATTGGGCACCGTTAATCTGAATAATGATCTGTTTTTAAAATTTCAGATATATGCACCCAAACTCAGAAAAGCCAAACAATGTATCACCTAGGTATCAATAAATACCAAGACATTTTAAAAAATTAATCTACTGAAAATCATGCACATTTCTATGGAACACTGTAATAATCACAGCTTTATTGCAAACCCCCAGCATATGGCACAGATGCAGATCACATACCCAGTTTTACAGAGACCAGAGACTCCATCAGCTCAAAGTGGCAGTGCAAGGAACAGAACTCACGGAGTCAGGAGACACCTAATTCCCTTGCCCATTTATTAAGCCACGTTCCTCTTTGAGGGTTTCCTTTGTGAAAGCATTATAAGCAAAACCTGCCCCAGGATCTTCAGAAAATGTTCAATATGCAAACGTGGAGCTATGCACTGGAATGAGAAGAGCAGGCTCTGTCCAGGAGGCCAGATAAACCAGGACCACAGGAACTCAGTGGAACACTCATGCAAAAGCCAGCACTGGCCTTGTCCCAGACTGGAGGCCCCCAGCAGCCTCTGCCCCCGTTTGTGCTAACACACCTGCCAGCCTTGTGGGAAGGGGGCCCGGTAGCCATGGGGAGGACACATGCACTGACCTGGTTCTTTTCATGGACAGAACAGAAAGCACTGAGGAGGAGCTTAATGATGGACAAGTGATTATAGCGTGCGGCAACGTGCAAACAGGTATCGCCTGCCTGCGGACAGAAATCAAACTCTGAGCACAATCTGAGCAGTTACCAAATAAATAAATAAATAAATAAAGATTAAAATACTGGCAGACTAGCATATCTTTAGAGCTTATCAGCCTGAACTGGAAGCATCCCCTTTCCCGTGGACGCCCAACTGCATGCCCCACAGCTCTGCTGTTCTCTGCGGCTCCACCGGCTTTCTCCAAGCGGACTCTCCGCTTTCAGGTTTCAGATGCTGGACGCCCGCTCCCCACGAGGCCTTCACCGGAGCTAAGGCAGGCTCTGCTTACCCAGCACTTGCTAGGAACCCACTCACCACAGCTTCTCCTACAGCCCAAAGGCTCTGGAGTATACGGAATTAAGACCAACAGCACTGCTTTGGAAACGAGCCCTCTTCCATCATGGATTTGTCACGGCTCAAAGGTCAGTGAGGCAGGGACAGCCGTCAGATTTTAAGATCACGTGTGTTCTAAAAAATTTCAAGCTGCATCTCATTTTAGTAGGACCCCAATAACTCAGGCGGGGCGGGGCGGGGCAGAACAGTCTGGGGAGCTGAAGAGGCAATCACTGGCATGAGACAGAGCATTCAGGAAAAAACTCAGGATCAAGATCTTCCTTAGTGGGCAAGGGCTAATCCGCTCCCAGAGAAAACAAAACTGGAGACAAAGTCGGGACACTCTTCAGTGTTTTCTTGATGTTTTCATTCAAACTGTCTAGAGATGGCCACTACCCAGCATGACCTTCTCCCCTGGATTAAGAAGGAGCCAGGCTCAAAGCCCAAGTTCAGGGCATTCTGAGACCTTTAGAGGAGTCTGCCCTCAGTGAGGGAGACCTCAGTTGAAGGCCATTTTTTGAGAGGAGCCCCAGCCAGAGTCTCTAGTCAAGGGATGAGGCACGGGACTTACAAAGGAAACACCGCTGCTTGTGGAGGGAGGGGGCACGCCCACGTGACCTCCAAAGTCAGGCATCCTCTAAAAACTACTGACCCATCGGCTCATCCCAAGGGCACCTCAGTAACCAATTTGTAGACACAGGCATCAGAGGATCTCCCCTGGACGGCATCGTCTGCCGTTTGCTAACTGCATAACACTACGTGGGCAGAGGTTTCCTGGACTCATTTGCCAGCACATGCTATGAAAAATGTTGAAACAAACCCAGGCTGAGGAGCGAGGGGGAAAGGATGGGAGAAGAGCAGCGTTTGAATCTTTTGAGTCCTCTTCTCCTGCCCCCTGGCCGACCCCTTAGGGCGTAGCAAAAAAGAAAGTACTTTACAGACAGTCCCCAAACACTTTTCCCATTTTCAGTTTCATTTTCTAGGTGTTAATACTCAAGTATGCTTTCAGGGTTACTTTCCAAGGTGACACAGGAGAGCGCGAGAGAAGCCGGATTTGTTCACCCACATTATTTTTGAGGTCGGCCCGGGACCCGCCCAGCAGGAGGACGCGGGTGCTCTGGGAGTGGCTGTTCTGGCAGGCCAGGTGCAGAGCGGTGTTCCCCGCCTTGGAGAGAGGCAAGAGAAGGGAGGACACGTTAGCAACATGCTTCTCGGCTGACCTGCATGAGGCAGGCTTTGCAGAGGGGTGATAGATACTTGCAAGAAAAAAAAAAAGTCAATGCTCACATTCTCTGCTCCCTGACTGGTGACCCCAGCAGAGGGGTTTCAGTGGCAAGAACAGTTCATGTGGAATCCAGACAGGCGCAAGAGTCCCATCGGCCACAAAGCCTTGGCTCTGCCACTTCCTAGCAGAAGGTCACTGGTCAAGACTCTTAAAATGCTCAGTCTGGAATTCCTTACCTGTAAAATGGAGTGTGACCCCTACTTCCTGAGGCTGTGAGGATTAATTCGGAGTGCCTGTGAGAGGGTATTTACTTAATGGCAAAATGCCGTGCGCGTGCAGTACGTTGCACTCCTTTCGGAAAGGACCGCGTCCTTCCTGCCCAACACAGATAACAGCTGTGGTTACGATACTCCACCACTGGAGTAAAGGCAAAAGAGGCCCCTTCCTGTGAGTGCAGATAACTGAGATTTAACTTGTACGCCTTTGGAAACCTTCCATTCTTGTGTTTTCCTTGAAACATGGAAAATCTGAACTATGGACAAGGTACCCACACAGCAGGCAATACGATTACGTCCACTGCTTACCATACAGATGGAGACCCTCTTGCTTTTTGGGCTCCACCACCAATATGCCATTTTACAGTGACAACCAAGGGTCAGAATCACGTCCATAGCAATGTTACAGAAAGAATTCATGACATAAACAGAACTTTTTAAAAAAGTGCAGACGGTGCCTGCAAGGCTGCCGATAAAAGTCACAAGAAAAGCAGACAGCAAAAGAGAAGATGTGGTGTTAGTCTGAGAGAGCCTAGGAGCAAACAGGAGGTTAAGTCTATAAGCTCAGAGATTGGTGGGCCGAGCTAAAAAGCTGGGTCAGGACTGCAACTGTGTGGGCTCAGAGCTATTTCACTGCCTGCCCACAGCTTTTCCTTGCCCCGGATCTGGATCCCATGGCACTGTCTGCCCATACTCATGGATGTTCTATTTCTCACCTCTTGAAGAGGAATGAGTTTTATTTAAAAAAAAAACGAAAAACAAAAAACCACACGGAGGAAAACTGTATGTCTCTGGTTCACTTACCTCCCCTCTCATACCCTTAGCTCTAAGTAGCCTGGGTAGAGTCTTTCTTCCTCACTGCTCCCTCCAAGGAACGTGAAGGTTATAGGCCTGAGCGTTTGGTGAACTCGGGGGTTATCAACCTTCCACTGCACCAAAGAATCACCTGGGGGAGATTTTAAGACTACTGGTGCTCAGCTGCAACCCTTCTAGGGGCTCTGATTTACTCAGCCCGGGGGTGAAGTCTGGGCAGTTCAGGTCTCAGCACCAAAAGTCCCAAACTCCGGGAAACCCCTCGCCCAGGGAAAACCAGGACAGCCTGTCACCTGAGGCCCAGTCACCAGGTGAGTTTGTCACCCCCCCACTTTTGTTTTTGTTTATAGTTTTCCAGGAGATTTGAAAGCACAAACAAGTAGAGAGCCACTGCTAGCTTAGCTCTCAAAAACGGAGGATCGGCCCACATTTTAAACACTCTGTCCTCTGTGCAAGGGCTCAGCGCCTGGCTTGGTGTAATTCTTACTGCCCTGGCAGTAGGTTGTCTCAAAGGTGTTGGTTTCGTGGGAGTTATTAAATGTGTTGAATAAATGGGTGAAATAAAAGGAATCTGATGGTTCTGGAACTATACACCGAACATTGCTTTGCTAATAAGAAAATATCAATTATGCTGAAAAACATTTGGATCGAGAAAATCCAAAACCGTGGATTAGAATACACAAATGATGGTATGTTCATACACTGGACTCTTACTTGGCAATAAAAAGGAATGAACTAATCTCACATGTAGCAACATGGAGGACTCTCAAAAACATGAAGGGAAAGAAGTTAAGCACAAAATGCTGCATACTCTGATTCCATTTATATGATGTTCTGGGAAAGGCAAAGCAGATCGGTGGTTGCCAAGAGCTGGGAGTGGTGGGTGGGTGGGAGATTGCCACCCAGGGGCACAAAGGAAGTCTCCGGGCAATGGAAACATTCTATATCTTGATTATGGAGGTGGTTACACAACTGTATACATTTGTCAAAACTCATACAACAATATACCTAAGAAGGCTGAACTTTATTGTATATGGATTATGCCTCAGAAGCTGACATTTAGAAAATGTGACCTAGGTAGATATGCGTAGCAGGCATTTTTCCATCCTGAGTAATGAGTACTTATCTCCCAGACAGGGGCTGATATACTCACTAAGTTCTTATACAACAGAATGCTCTTATACAACAGAATATCATCCAACCTCAAAAAAAGAAAGAAATTCTATCATTTGTGACATGCATGAGCCTAGAGCACATTATGTTAAATGAAATAAGCCAGAGAGAGAATACTGTATGGTATCACTTACACGTGGAGGGTGGGGAAAATAGGGAGAGGTTGGTAAAAGGGTACAAAGTTTCAGTTACGAGTATTGTCTAACATAAAACATGGTGACTATAGTTGGTAAACTGTATACAAAGAATAGAACTGAAATGTTTACATCAAAAATTTTTTAGAAAGTGTAAACATGTGAGGTGAGGGGGGTGTTCATTAACCCGACGGGGGCAATCCTGTCACAACATATACATATATCAAATCATCACTTTGTACATTTTAAATATCTTACGATTTTATTTGTCAGTTATACCTCAGTAAAGGTGGGGGCAGAGGGGAGGGCCTTTTTAGAGGCTTCGCCAGAGGATATGGCTGGTGCAGAACGTAGAAGTCCTTTTCTGGGATAGCCCCTACCTTTGCTTCTGACAGTCTCTCCTGTTCTATCTAGAGAGACCTTGTGGCTTTCCACAATACCTTCAGGGCCCCATACAGGATAGGAGGCAGTGTGGTGGAGCAGACGGACTCAGGCTAGTTTATGGCCCTACCTGTGTGCCTTTGTTGAGACTACTGGCTCCCAGCTCAGGCTTCCCTATCCATTAACTGGGAACCACCTACTTCTCAAGAGTTCTAGGATCTAAGATACAACATGGGTCCACCTACAACTCATGTTCCGGACAATATACCACTTTGAAGAAATGAAGCAGCCACCAGTTTGCAGTGACTCGGGCATTACTGGAGATACTACAATGCATGGCTTGCTTCTTTTCCTCCAGCTGTTGTCCCATGAGGGAACCATGAGAAAAAAATTTTTTTGAGATTTTATTTATTTATTTGACAGAGAGAGACACAGTGAGAGAGGGAACACAAGCAGGGGGAGTGGGAGAGGGAGAAGCAGGCTTCCTGCTGAGCAGGGAGCCCAATGCGGGGCTTGATCCCAGGACCCTGGCATCATGACCTGAGCCGAAGGCAGACGCTTAACGACTGAGCCACCCAGGCGCCCCCATGAGAAACATTTAACCAGTAAATGACAGCACAAAGCTGTGTGGAGTGCCAAGGGAGCTCTGCAGGAAAGAGCCTGATGGGCCTTTGGGGAGGCAGGGGCCACTGCCCTGGGAACCCGGGTTGGATAGGCAGATAGGAGGAGCAGCCTTCCCCAAAGGGAGCGGGCAACGGGAGGGACGATGAGCCCACTCTGGTAGCACACAAGGCACATACTGGGAAAGGCTCAGGGAAGAGGCTGCAGACATAGACTGAGGCCACTCCAGGGAGGCCTAAGACAGCATCAGGCTGGGGAGCTTTCCTGGAAGGTTTCTGAGCAGAGAAGGAGCAGGATGAAGAAGGGACTAAGCAAGCTGGCCAATCTGCTGTGAGGTTTCTGCAGTAATCCAGAGATGCATTCATTAATAATGAGCACAGAAGGAAGGGGATGAGACATGATGAGTGACTGGAGGGGAGACAGGAAAATGCGGGAAAAGAGGTGTTGCTGGCTTCTCCCCATCTGCAGGAGGACAGGGCTGCTTGCCAAACCACACCTGGATAAACCAATGGGAAAGCGGTGAGAGCCCGGAGAATTCAGAGGAAGTCAAAGCCACTCTAGTAGGTTCTCTTGCTCACCATGGAGATTATGTTTCATTTCCCCTGGTCCCCCGAGCTCTCGCTTCGCTCAGTAAGGAGGCTCACACAGGGACAACAGCCTGCAGCCATCCCCACCTGTGAACGGGGAGTTCTAGCACCTGTTGGGCCTCACCTTGTTTTTGGCAAGCACATTGGCTCCTGCTTTAACGAGCAGTTTGGCTGACTGGCTAAAACCATGCCAGGATGCTTCGTGTAGGGCCGTATTCCCGTCCTGAGGAACACATACGGAGACAGAAAGCACATTACCCAAGACCTAATTCATCTCATTAGAATCGATACATCACAGTGTATTTCTAGGGTACGCATCACAGGTCCTTTCTCAAATGGGGCTTCTCATAGGAACCACAGAGCCCAGAAAATGATTTCAGTGGCTAGTTTCTCCATTCTCCCAGAAATGGTACATAACAAGTACCATTTTATTTTATTTTATTTTATTTTTTTACAATTTTTAGCGGGGAGGGACAGAGGAAGAGGGGGAGAGAGAATTTTAAGCAAGCTCCACCCCCAGCATGGAGCCCAACTCGGGGCTTGATCCATTACCCCGAGATCATGACCTGAGCTGAAATCATGTTGGATGCTTAAACGACTGAGCCACCCAGGCACCCCAGCAAGTACCATTTTAGATTTATGATGTACAATAGATGCCTTAAGGCATTAGTGCTTAAATCTCTCCGGGAACCCCAGTTGAGAAAGGCTCATCCACAGTCACATTTAACAGAAAACAACATCGACATGATGTTCATTCCTTCCCACCTCCATCACCCCTGGGGTCTCCTCTGCTCTGCTCCTGGCCCCAGAGAGAATCCTGCAAAGATCCGGCAAATGAAGAGTCCAGCTTCATAAGCTGCCGGGCCTAAGGGCTGGATAGGCAGATTCCTCCTCTCTTTTTCTTCCCCCAAATTTAATCTCACCCAGTTTAATCCAAAGTCTCAGGGACCAAAACAAATAAACAGACATTGAGACAACAGTGACTTGTAAAGAAGATAAACAAGTGTCCTCAATATTTGGCTTTTTAAATAAAAACCAACCAATTAACACACACAGCTGGTATTTGCTTAACCTCCTACGATAGAAATATGAAGTGCAGTGAAGTGAGTGCGGTAGGGCTGAGGGCTGGGGTTATAGGGAGGGAGAAGCATGCAGAGGAGAGGTGGAGAGACCGCGCGTGTGCTGTTCCGGGTCAGAGCGTGGAGCAGGGCTGGGGGCAGGGCAGGTGCGCTGTCCGTGCACATCCAGGCACTGGCTTTGGCTCTTCGTCGTCCATACCACGAGACTGGCTGAATGGCACCAACACCCATAAGGAGGAGGCTAGGTAGGGTCTGAAAGGCCAGGGAATGGGGTGGTGCTGGGAACAGTAGTGGCCATGTGTGGGCTGGCCTGGGGGACTGACTGCACACAGCAGGAAGCAGAAGGAAAAGTGACTGGATGGGGATGCTTGTGAAGGGGCTTCTGGCATGCTGCTAATGATCTGCTTCTTGATCTGGGGGCTCACAAAGATGTGCTCAGTTAGTGAAAACTCACTGAACTGCATGCTTATAATTTGCACATTTTTCTGTATATATGGGACACGAGTTAAAAAGTTGTCTACAAAAGTAAACAGAGACCGAACTGCACTTAATTACAAAGTTCCCTGTTTTAAGATTAACGATTTAAAAGCAACGATTAATATAAAATATATCATTGGGATTTCTTAAAGAGTTGATTTTGCTCATTTTTTTCCTCCCAATATATTTCAAATTCTATTTTTTTTTTTAAGTCAAGTGAGCAAGTTAATTTGAGTCCAGGGCACATCCTTTCCCCCATCCAGGCCTCCACAGGTCATTATTTCTAGAATTTTTTTCTTTACCATTTATATTTATGTGGTTGCCCACTGCTGCCACAGAACAGGAGGAAGGATTTAAAAAAATACAATTTGTTGGGATATTAGATACTGTTTCAAAAGAAAGTTGGGCTGATTTTATCCTGTTAAAGCATGAGTGATAGGACTCAGGAATGATAACATTGAACAGTCACAAGCTCCCGAAGCAGGGTCCTCAGGCGGACATGTCCCACGTCACCTTGTCTTGGCGGTCCAGAGCACAGCCCTCCTGGATGAGCGCCGCGATGACATCCGTGTTCCCCACCACTGTGGCCCGGTGCAAGGCGGTCTGATCCCCCTGCAGAGTGACATGTTGGCAGGAACATCAGTCAGCTCTCCCAGCCCTGCCCTGCACCACTCTGCGCTATTCGGACACAGGGACATCTCCTGTCCTCAATCGGAGCAGACCGGCCACCATGCCAGGCAGAGCTCTTTTGTTCCCAAACTCAGTAGGAACCTTAGACGGACCACAGAATGACTTCAGAGCTGACATCAGAATGAGGGTCAGGCACTTACCTGCCGCCTCAAGGAATGGCAGTGTTCAGAGATTATGACTGTCACATCTGCAAAGTGGGTCTGAGAGCTAGACTGTGTGTGCTATGCAGTTAAACCATCGATCTTTACTCCCTCCTGAGTCCTCTAGTTGCCTGCTCTCTTTCAGAGGAATCGCTATCTGGCTAAGTCAGCTAGCAACACTCAACGATCTGATGACAGGTGCGTATTTGTTGATTGACTTATATGGGCTGAGGGCAATGTAGAGATTTATGCCATGTCATCTGAAGACTCCAGGGACTATCACTGCATAAGTCTACGAAGCCTATTCTGATATTTCATGACAGCATCCTCACTGATTTATACTGCATTTTCTTTATGATCAGATGCTGGGGATTGCTGATCTTCTCCTTCTCCATCAGGGCACCAAAGGGAACTTGACTCTTTCCCCTAGCTGCAATTGAGAGAAAGTAAGATGGTCAAGATAAGAGAGAGTTCTGAAGTTTCTAAGAGCACATCTCATCTCTGACATGTACTCAGGAAATCAAGTCGAAACAAATTAAGTCTAGCCTGGGGTCCAAACTGAAATGGGGAGATAGGTGAACAGTGTGGAAAACTTCTGGTAGGAAGGGAGAGGTGCAGGGCAAGGGGGACAGGAGATATGAATCTTGCACAGTTTTGGGAGACACCTGTCATTTTATTGGGCCTCAGTTTCTTTACCTGTAAAGGAGAGGTGGATGCTCCCTAAGTTCTGTCCCTTCCCTTCTTGGGTTCTATGATTTGGTTGGTAAGAGTTCTGCCTAAAAATGTTCTGGTGGAGCACCAGAGGGGCAAAGGACACACCCTGGGGCATCCCTCATCTTTAGCCCAAGAGAGGAAAGAGAGACTATTATAAGACAAAAAATATGGAGATTTTTTTAAGGGGGATACACTGCTACTTATGAATCGCCTTAATGAAGTACTGATTCTACTTACTAAACACCCTGGAATCTAGAACAAACAACAATGCACGTTAAAATCACTTAATCCAAACAGAAATTCTGGAGATGGATGGTCATAATGGTTGTTCAGCAATGCAAATGTACTTAATGCCACTAAACTGTACAGTTAAAAATGGTTAAAATGGTAAATTTTATGTTATATGCATTTTATCACAATAAAACACTTAATGCTATTTAAAACTCAAATTCACTTTCTTAAAGCTAAAAAACTCCCTTTAAAAGTCCATGAGGGGAAGTGATTTTTATTTTCTTCCTTATACTTTTAAATAGTTTCCTACTTTTTATATTTAACAAATAGCCACAGGAAAAACTGCTATTTATTAAAAGTCTAAGCTGTAACAATATACCAATAATGGGATTGTCCACGTCTCAGAATCTTTTCTCACTGTTCATGCGTAGAATGTAAGGGATTTCCACAGTGATGGGTCAGCACATCCAGCTCCAGTATTATAACTGATTCACTGCCCACAGCATTTCTATCATGAACCCTCCCCATTGGCATCATAAGCCATTATTCCCATTAGACATTAGGTTTAGACTGGGTTTTCTTCTTGTCCACCTTCCCAGAGACCCCTTACTCAAAGAGAACCCTTTCTGCGCGTCTGCAGTCACAAGAGGAACGTGGCCACTGGATGGGGGGTGCAGGAGGCACGTCAAGCCATTACACATTCATCTCAAACATCCTAGGAAGTGTTTCCAGATGACATACACTATGCCCAAACAAGTCATCCTTTGAGAAACTGCCCAAGTCTTAACTTTTAAAAATTTCAATAAGAATTCCCACGATTGCCATTTCCCCCTCAGAATGGTGACAGGTTTTCCCAAAATGGGCCTGAAGTGCAATTTATGACCTGATGTGAAAGATGGCGCTCTGGTCTCGGCAAGAAGGGGAGACTGCAGCTCATTCTCTAGGGGTAAATACTGATGGGGCTTTAATTCCCACAGACTGCCAGCACTCAGATCAGCACTCCTTGGACTGATGATAACAACCTTGACACAGAACGGAACTTAACCATTCGATCTGTGTTGTGCATCTGTGTTGTGCACAAAGCCCGGAACTCATGGGTCATGTTGGTCACTCTTCTGAGTCTTTGCACGAGGGGCCTTGCTGGGTAGAGCACAGTCTAGCCTAAGCCATGTTGCAGGTCAAGTGTTTTATCATGTTTCACAAGCTACTCCTAAATCACGAGTTCAAGCAGCTTTGGAGCCAGAACATCACTATTATTTATTACTTGCTCTCGGCATGAATCATCTGTTTTTGCTTCCCTACAGAGGTCTTTTCCTTTGTGAAACTCTAGTTCAACGAAAGAAGCTAAATCTAACTTTTGGTTTAGCCTTTAAAAGTAAATTTCCAGACGGATTAACAAGACTCAAGGAGATCTAACAACTTGGTGAGACTACAGTGAGAACACAGACTGTCCTAAGCCACTGGGACAGGTGTCTCTTGCAGAGACTTTTAGAGGCACTGCCTGTCTCCAGACCACCACTTCCCCTCCATCTTCACTGCCCTCAGAGGCCTCACTCCGAGCCCGGGTCCTGGCCTCATCAGATAAACACTGCTGAGAAGGCCAACATCAGCCTTTCCCCACTGCAAGTGGCTGTCCTTGAGCCGTGCCATTAGCTTTGCAAACACTGAATGGGACAGTTCTGGAGGACTGAGGAAGACAATTTCTCTGGCTTATAAACACCAGCCACTCCAAAGTTACCAAGATGAGAGTCGAAGGCCACACAAAGAGACATGAAACATATAAGCAAAGGGCCAGCCTGGGCTATCTATCTCAGGGCTACTCTTCCCCAGAACACAACCCAATCGAGCACCCGAGACCCTCAACTAAAACAGGGCCAGTTACCTGGGAATCAACTTTCCTCCTATAAAATGTACCTTGGAAACATTTCCTCTTTTTTTTCTTTTAATATTTTATTTATTTATTTAACAGAGAGAGAGAGCACAAGTAGGCAGAGAGGCAGGCAGAGGGAGAGGGAGAGGCAGGCAGAGGGAGAGGGAGGTGCAGGCTCCCCGCTGAGCAGGGAGCCTAACGTGGGGCTCAATCCCAGGACCCTGGGATCATGACCTGAGCTGAAGGCAGACACCCAACCAACTGAGCCACCCAGGTGCCCCGAAACATTTCCTCTTTGAAATAGGACATAGAAAACAACAAAACGTGTCCTCAATACATACTTATTAGCAGACCCCGGCAGCAACTTTGACATAATCCTTATTTCTATATTATCTAAATACACCATGAAATTCTGAAACTTTGAAAAAAGAATGCTGCAAAAGGTATGACACTCTTAACAGCATTCGATAGTTGTTTGTTCAGTAAATATTGACCCTCTGCTATACTCTAAGTGGCATCTAATTCTCATTTTATTGATTAAAAAAAAAACAACAACAACGAAGGCTCAGTGCTGTTCAGTGTCTAGCCGAGGATAACCAGCTAATTCGGGGTAGTGTGGTTAGGCCCAAATTCAAACTGTCAAGGCTCTTTGCACTTAACTCCAAGCTGTTTCCACCCCGTGAAATCAATGAACCTCAGTCTGGCAGGCCTTAAAAAAGATCAGCTGCCTCTTGATGGCATCCCCTAGCTGAGTGCTTTAGTACAATGCCATGGCCACTACAGGCACCCAAGAAATATTTGTGGAATGATTAACTACAAAGATGCAAAAGGAAAAACACTGCAGCTGGAAACGCGGAGAGCCAGCCACCTTGCAGTTTGGCACTTTGGTTTGGAACATGCTGACCTGTTTGCAAAGTGCATGAACTGCCAATCTCTCAATTTTTCTGACTTCAGTGTTTCTCACGTATGGAATCTAAGGAGTTTGGAACCTCTGAGGTCTCCATCTTTGTTGCGAAATACTTTTAGTGTTCTCTCCTACATGGTGAGAAAGGGTGGGCACAATGCACGCAGATGCCGAAGCTAAGCTCATGGAAGAAACCCGAGTCCCACTAAGGCGGAACACGTCCCTCTTTAGGAGGAATCTCTCCCAGGTGGCACAGACAGATATGTTGTAAGGAAGCCCAGAATGGCGCAGGTGTGCAAAGCAAGTTGCTGACCTCTTTTTCTCTCTCTGATCTTCTAGGGTTCTTGCTAGCCTTTCTTCTCTGGTTTTTCTTAGTTTTTTCTTCCTTCGTGGCTTTTATCATGGCCACGGGGTCCTGGACTATTTCTGAGGTGGGGGCTGTGTGGTTGCTCATGGACCAATCAGAGATGGCATCAGAGGTCCAATGTGAGTTGACAGGATTGGCCGGAAGCAAGCGGGAATTTTCTCTTGGAGTTGCATATTCTAAAGAACTGGTTTCCACAGGCTGAAATTCATAATAATCCCATTCCAGGCCACTGGAGGTCATTCTTCAACTAATTCTCAGTCCTTACCATGACATAAGGTATGTATCTGTAGAATATGAAGTTAGGAGTAAATTCTTCACAACATTAACATTCTCTATTTCTACCCATCATCCAAGACAGGTAACTTCTGAACTGATTTTTTTCCAATAATTAACGTCCCAGCTTCTTTAAAAAAAAACACCCATAGTTTTCTTCTTTGAATTCTTGCATAAATTTCAAAGCTGATCACCAACAGGCACAATAAATATGTAGAAGAGAGACATGAACAATATTCTGGCAAATGCATTGCTTCAGAACTAGTGAAGATCAATTCTACCTTCTCCTTTCTCAACCATTTTTACACTGTTTTGTTGCTGTGTTTTTGTTTTGTTTTTGTCTTGATTTAAGCTATCAGGGAGAAGCAATGTACACACTGTCTGATTAGGGCAGGGAAAAGATGCAAGAAAATACATTATTCCAATAAATGAAATGAAGGTGTTCCTGTCTGAAAGTAGCGCTGAATTTCCTTCAGCTGACATGTCTCCCCTTGGCTACCTTGTGAAAACTCCTATTTTACTTCTTACCTTGCCTGATACAAACTTCTAGGAAGTTAGCATGGCTTTTGCTGTATGAGAACACAGTGATTCTCGGAGCTCAAAACCGGAGGCAGGAGTTGGGTAGGAATGCGTTAACATGCCTGGCATGGTAGCCTTGCCAGAATGGCCAGTGAGGACTCTAATTAGGCAAAGAGAAGACCAGATGCATCCCAACATGTCTGTACGAGAAACTCAATGCTCTGCCTTTTCTGTGGTCAGAATCTCTTCTCTCTCTCCTTGTATGTTCATTCCTGTCGTCTAAGGAGATGATATATAATCAGGAATGTTATGATAGTTTAGAGTGTGGGGAAAAAAATATGACCAAAGGTAGAAATCAATAGCTAAAAGCTAAACCAGTATCTTTTGAAAGTAACATTTTTGATGACCCAACAGGTTCCAAATATAACCAGAGATTTATGAATGATACTGGACAGCCTTCTGCCTGTACATAAAGCAATGACATTTAGCTATTTCTTTACAAATGCTGTCCATCTCACTTGTGTGTCTGCCAAGTTTTAGAACATTACACAGACGACTAAAGAAAATTAGAAGCACTTTGGTAACCTATACCCTAGCACACCTGAGGGTCTGAAATTTGATTAACACTCTGTAACCACAGTTATTCAAGGAGAGTCAGGAAGAGATTATGGTTAAGTGCAAATTCTACAAGATTTTGTGTTCCTCACAAAATTTCTTATTTCTTAGAGTCCTACCACACAAATTAGAGTTGAAATTAGAAACAGTTTCTGAAAATAGCTTCCAATCCCATTATCATAGGACTTTTTCCTAATAACTAATTGGAGGACAATTTACATAATCTTATCTATATCCTCCTCTTAGAGAATTTATTTCCCCAAAGACCCAAGACAACCCTGTGCGCTACATGACATCATCCCAGCCACTGTTGATTGACTCAGAAATGGATACTTGACTCCAAAGAAGGAGCCAATCAGTCTTTCTCTAGATAATCTGAATGAAGAGACTCAGAGACTGAGTCTTAATAAAGGCATAGCACCAGAGGGAATTCTTTCAAGACTTCCTTTTTCTTGGATTCTATGATATCAGTTTTTTCTTTTGGACAGGTCCCCTTTAACTAAATGTACACTAAGAGAAATCAAGGTGAGAAGAGGAAAAAATTAAGTTTTTCAGCCCTATTTTTTGTCTAATGGTAAGCTTGGTCAATGACAGATTTCCAACAGGCCTTGCCCACACTTGGGTGTATGTGTATGTCATGTGCTCCTTCACACTGAGACAGGACATAGGCAAAATACCCTTTGAGGCTCTACACTTGGATGATACTAGATAGGACATGAACCATGATGGGAAAACCACCCCACCCTTGCAAACTCTAGCTTGGTACCTAGAATGGATCCCAGGTCTTCAAGAGGAAGTTCTTCCCACCATGGGGACCAAGATGAAGCTAAAAAGTGCTGGGAGTGCATCTTCTACCTTCCCACATTATAGCAGGCTATACACTATACTCTAGATTTCTAGGCAGACAAGCTCCCCTAACAACCCATCCCAATAGAATGTGGCTTCTACTCACATCATCCTGGACATCAAGGTCACAGCCAGCCTTCAGCAAGATCTGGACCACAGAAAGATGACCCTTATTGGCAGCAAGATGAAGGGGGGTCCGGCCATGCTGTTAATGCAAAGCAAACACTTATTTCAGAATAGGACATCAAAACCACTACTCTGGGGGCACCTGGGTGGCTGTCAGTTGAGCTCCTGACTCTTGGTGTCAGCTCAGATCATGATCTCAGGGTCATGGGATTAGGCCCACGTCAGGCTCTGTGCTCAGCATCGAGTCTGTTTGAGATTCTCTCCCTTTCCCTCTGCCCCTTCCCTGCTCATGCACACACACACTCTCTCTCTAAACAAATAAATAAATAAATCTTAAAAAAAAAATAAATCTTTAAATAAATAAATCTTAAAAAAAAAATAACCACTGCTCTGGAGGGGGTGGGGGCCTGGAGCAAGGTTTACATAGTGGAAGCCCCCTTCCCCTTCAGTTAGGCAGGAGATTCTTATATATTTACTCAGAATTCAAGTTTGTCTCAGTTAACCTTTGTTATTGGCATTGTGATAAATGAATAAAATATGCTAAAAATGTGAAGATTTCCTTCAGTACATAATTTCTACTCCCCACTCCACAAACAAGTAGGAATATGAGGGGTTTCATGTTTTCTCTTATTTTCCCCCTGGTGCTAATACTCAAGCATGATGGAATGGTCACAATGAATTGGGATAGGGCAAAAGATAGGAGAACAGTAAGAGGTCAAGCTAATCAGCTCAGAAAAATCTGGTTAGTAATCATTAAAAATTGAAACTACTGGTCAAACAGCTTTGAATAGGTTCTCCCTTTTTTACTTACTTATTTTTTATTTATTTATTTTGGTTCTCCCTTTTTTAAAACAAATTTTAAAATTACAACATATTTCAGCCATTCAAAAATATGAATAATATTTTAAATGTACATACCCACCAATCACTTTAAAACACCATAGATGTTCCTTGTGAACCCCTCCCAGATTTCATTTCCCTCCAGCTCCAGAGATAACCATTCTTAAATTTGGTATTCTTCATTCTTTTGCCATTAATTATACTTTACTATCCATTTATTGCTATAAATAATAACTAAACATTGTTTTGCTTACTTTAGAGCCTTATATAAATAGTATTAAACTTTTTATCACTTGGCAATTTTTTTGTCCAATGTTATATTTTTTATAGATTTTTTTTCATATTGTCACATGTAGTTTTGGTTCATGTATTCATTATTCACACATTCTCTACTGATGGGCATCCAGGTTCTTTTCAGTGGTTTGCAGAACACATTTGTTGCACATGTCCCTGTGCATCTGAGGGGGACTTCGTAGCCCTATTGTTGGATCACAGCTCTATTGACCATCCTTCAACAGCCCTAACTAATACACAGCCTCCTGAGGTTATGACACGGGAGTAACACCCAGAATTACTCTCTTCGGTATAAATCAACTATCCAGAGAACTGACCTTGCCAAACTCCAAATTCCTCAAATTCTAAAGGAGACATTATGTTCCCTTTGCTTTCTCACTCAAGTTCACTGTGAAGAAATGTTCTCCCTCCGGCTTCAAAAATCATTTAGCCATGGCTCCCAGCCATGTTGAAACACACCCTCTGCATCTCATATGGGTCTCTTATTAAGGGGATAATAGTCTCTTACGTCCTTCTAGCACCTCAATAAAACTTTCCAAAGAGCTTTATTGATATTCTAGCAGGATACACCCATTTATGATCTCCATAAAGTGTCAGTTTGCCATGGGTACCTAGCCTTGGAGGAAAACAGAGATAGCAGACAATAAAGGATCTTAATTTCTACCCATGAAATGCAATCAAAGCACTAGAATGATTCCGTAAAGAAAGAGGTCAGAGCTCACTTTAAAATTAGAATTCTTAATTAAGAAAAAAGTTACTCCCAAGAAAGTGGGCTATAAAAAGTCTTCCTAAAAAGGTAATGTCTAAGAGAAGATGGAGTGACCTTCCTTGGCTAGCAACTGTCTCAGTGCACACTGCTTAACCTTCATTCTTTCAGTGAAAGGTCCACAGCCGATCAGATGGAGCCAACAAGCGGGTTCCGCTCCCTGGGCCTGGTCCCAGGCTCCATCTGTCATCACGTGTCCTTGTTGAGGACATCAGACAATCACCTTCACCAAGGTTCTAAGGCATTATAAAACACGGAAGTTCGTCATGTTTGTGAGGAGACAGATGCGTGTGCTTTTAGGAAGGCTGACAGGATGGTGGGACCCAAGTGCTTCTGAGCAACTGGAAAATATAAACCCTGATGGGGAGAAGTCCCTGGAGAGAGCCTGGAAGGAGGACAAAGGACAAGGAGTCTCCAGGTGTCAGGTCAGGGGAGCCCGAGGAACATCCTCCTCAGCAACCAGATACGCCTGGTTGGACGTGGACACCCAAGGAGGCAAAAGGGTTTGCCCAAAAGAACACAAATAATCAGAAGGCAGAAGGAAATGCTGCTGTGGTTCAAACGAGGTCACACCCGGGAGGGCGCTTTAGAATCTATAAATTACTGACAAGATGGGCCTGGACTAGAGGCACCTTCCCAATCCAAAGTCAGCAGAAAATCCCCTCTGTGGCGAAAGGGCAGGCTGGAGGCACCGGCTCCTGACAAGCCCAGTTCAAATCCTGGCTCTGACTAATAACAACGGTGTGACTTTGTGCACAACACTCTCCTAAGCCCATTTTCTCACCTATAAAAGAGGAATAGCCGCCACTATCCACCCCATAAAAACTTGAAATAAGATAAATGAGGTAATATCCACCATCTAAGATGGGTTTTCCTTCCCTCCAGCTGTCCTCAGCCCTCACCCCTGAAGATACCCCAACTGTTCCCTCTCTTCTTTGACACCCCTGCTCCTTTGCCTTAGCACAGACCAGTGGGATATTTTCAATGGCAAACAGACCTGGGTGAAGGGTTGGAAATCAGATCACTTGGATAGCCAAATGGGCTCCAGCTGAAGGGCCAAGGTTCCTACTGGCCAGCCCTTTTTTTTTTAAGGGGGGGTGGGCAGAGGGAGAAAGAGAATCTTAAGCACGCTCCATACTCAGCTCCACGCTCAGCACGGAGCCTGACATAGAGCTCGATCTCATGACCTTGAGTTCATGACCTGAGCTGAAATCAAGAGTTGGACACATAACTGACTGAGTCACCCAGGCGCCCCTCCTGCCAGCCAGTTTTGATCCACTTGTCCACTTCCATTTTGAAATATAGCCCATGGTTTCCAGTTTCTGCATCTCTGCTGGATGGCATTCTTCCAGGGAATGCCCTTCTCCAAACTATGCCTTCTCTGATTCCCCAAGAAGCATTCCCTGGCTTGTCTTCTCCGTTCCCACAGCACCTGAGCTTCCTCTTAGGAAACCACCACATTCTGTTTTGAGTGTCACCCTGGGCCCTGGCTTTTCCTTCCAACTGGGCCATAATCCGCCTGAGGGCAGGACTGTGCCTTCCACGAATGATGAAGCCAAGTTGACTCTGGGGTGGAATGGGGCTATGTCAAAGAGGTGCCAGTGTTCCTCAACCATAGGCGGACTGAGGCTACCAGGGACACAGGAGCAAATTCCAATTCCAGGCTTGACCTCAGAGAAATGGAGAGTCTAGGGGTCGCTGCAGACTCCAGATTTGGGGATGTCCCAGCCCCTCGGAGGAAGTGTATACCTCTAGGAGCTGCATAAGTATTGAAGCAGGTGCAACAGTGACATGGAGAAGGCTGCAATCCCTACGTGTGAGGCGGCAAATAATAACTGACCCTAAGAGGAGTCTCTGAATGACTTAAGACTCCAGAGTGCAACTGCTCTCATCTTCCTGCCTGTAGGACTGGCCAATGAAAGAAATGGGAAAAGGAGAAAAGACTGTGAACTATGAATGATAAGAGGAAGAAATTTTTGAAGCATCCGTTTGTCCTGGGACCTCCCCCAGTTCAATGACTAGTTCAAGTTAACTCAACTCAACCCTGGCTCTGGAGGGCTCAGGAGACCACTAATAATAAGGACAAGAGGAAGAAACAGCCGCAGCTAACATTTATGGGATACTTACTATGTGATATCTTAAGAATTTTACATGTATTAGCTCATTCAATCCTCCCCACAACCCTATGAGGTAGGCACTATTTTTAAGATGAGGAATTTCCATTTTACAGATGACAAAACTGAGGCATGGAGGGACTCTGTCACTTTTTCTGTGTCATAAAGCAGGTAATTTGAGCCTGGATTCACCCCTAAGCCAACTGATTCTGGCCCCCACGTTCTGACCCACCATTCTACCTGCTGCCCCCTTTCTGGCGGTGGTGGGGGGCTCTCTCCTGGCAGAGGCGTTTCATCGCTCACTGTTAGGAAGCTCCCAAGACTCCCAGATGATGACCTATGGAAATGACCTGGTTTCCTTAGAATCTCAAGGACAAGGACAGAGGTTGTCTATTCTCACCATACATCGAATCCCTCGGGCAGGTTGGTCTGTTTGTCCGTCCACCTATATTGACGCTTGAGCCCCTTCACCAGAGTTTCTGACTCCACTCTCTGTTGTGGGGCCCAGGCATCTGTGGTTATATACCCTCCCTGAGTGATTCTAATGAGTGACCCAGGCTGAGAACTACAGGACGAGATAAAGAGGGGCCAGGATAATCCTCTCCAGGGAAGCTATAGGCCCTCAGGTGGAGCCTGCCGTGTCGGGCCTGTCCAAGCAGGAGTCATTCCTCTAGCTACATTCTTCGTGATGCTCTCAACCCCACCTGTCAGGATAAAACACTAAAATACTGCACCACCACCGCCCAGAGTTCCTGCTTCTTAAAAGAGTATGTGAGCAATATAATGACATTACTAAAAATCTGGAAAATAAAAAATCTGTAATTCTACCACCCAACAAAACTATTATCATTTATTTTATTTATGAGAGAGAGAGAGAGAGAGAGAGCTCTCAAGCGGGGAGGGGAGGGGAGGGGCAGCGGGACAGAGAGGAAGAGGGAAAGAATCCCAAGCATGCTCCACATTGAGCAGGGAGCCCAACGGAGGGTGCAATCTCATGAGCCTGAGATCATGACCTGAGCCAAAACCAAGAGCTGGATGCTTAACTGACTGAGCCACCCAGGTGCC